CGTATAGGAAGGAACCACACACAAGTCGTGCAAAGTTGCGGTTTCCGGGATTAAGATGGCCATAGCGGCGGTCGGATATCCCGAGAAAAACTTCTCCTCAGCGGGAAGAACTCTTAAAGAGGAACTTAACGGATAGATTTGGGATCGATTGAGCTATTGGTTCTTTCGTGGTTAATTTTTAAACTTTGGAAATATTTTAGGCGGCTGTGTATTTTTACATTTTTACATTTTTACTGAAACTGGTCTCTAAAGAACCGTTTCAGATATGCAATTGACGTTGCTCAAGAACCATTTGAGCCACAGAATTCGTTTTTAAATCATTGATAGAGAATTTGTAATTCCATTCAGTTGTAACAACGTGCGTGAGTAAATTCTGATGCATTTGCTACAAAAAGTCAACGAAATTTTAATATCAGATATTTAGGTGCAAGTTTACGTCAAATTTCATTAGAAAACACTTTCTACAAAATGTTCAACTTTTAAGTGTCTTTCAAAGCTTTACTTTGAAAGTTCGAATTTTTTTATTGAAAGCATTCATTTTCAAATCAGCAGTTACGAAGCGCACAAAATTCAGGGTTTCATGTGATTGACTGAATTTTTAAAGAAATTTTGACGACGTTTAAAGCGCACTCTTCTTTACTGAACGTGCATTACTCTGAACTTATAGAGTGTTTTTCGTTGTTGAGTAATTTCTATTGAATAAACGCCCTGCAAAATGTGTCCCGCAACAGTTTTTTCAAATCATAAGCAAATTTTTCTTAAGGATGAGTGAAATTCGAAATTTTGACGGCATTTAGAGCGCATTCTGCTTTACTGAACGCACAACTCTGAACTTGTAGAGTATTTTCCATTTCTGACTGTTCCGTTATAGCTCTGCGCGTCTCACTGTGTCGCACACTTTTAGTTACGTTTAGCATGTAACCCAGGGGCGGATTAAAGCAACTAATTAATTAAAACAACCACATGGGTGATTGCAACGCAACTGCTCCGGATAGTTACTGTGTCGGTGCGTTGGGTTGGCGCATCAAGCCATTTCGGCAACACTGTGCCAACTCCTGGAAATTAGAGTAGTAATAGTAATTAGATTAGTAATTAAAATAGAATAGTTTCATATAAAAGTCATTGATGCACAAACTGCGCACATTTTAAAAATATTTTATACTATACAGAGTGTCTCAGAAAAGCGAGGCAAGATCAAAGTGATTTTTTTAAAATAGAACTACCATTTTTTCAAACCCTGCATATGCACCGTAAATTGTTTGTTTCTTACTAGCGACGTTGGTAGATTATCACCATTTAAGTACAATTTTGCTTAAAAACATGGCATCTAAAAATTAATTGTAGAAGCAAAAAAAGCCGTTAAAGATACAAAAAAATACGTCTTTCCAATAACCACAGATCCGTTAAGAATTCCATTGAACCAAAATATTAATACAATGTACAATATTGTACAGGGTGTTAACAATGGTGACATGAATCTAAAACTTTTTAGCGCAATATAACTTTTGTTTTTCAAATAAAAGTACCTGTATATTAATACGTCATTATATAGACATTTTACAAAGTTACAAATTTCCATTTACACGTTAAGCTGTAAAATCAACCGTTTTCAAATTATTATTTTATTTAAAAATTTCAAAAAGTGGTTACATTGCGTAAGGTGAACATTTTTTTATTTATTAATATTATTTACTAAAACTAGTCAAGCATGACCAACTATCAGTTTTTATCCGTAATCTTAAAATTAGGGTAGTTAACTAAGTCAGTCCATTGACTTTCCAAGTTTTAGCCTCACAGAAGATTGACAATATTTACACGCACACCATGCTCTGCCCTTAAAACACTTTATCAATTCAAAGGGCTTAGTTCTCTTCAATCTGCGGTATAAATTCTGATCATCTAGCAGCTGGCGGGCTTCTGCGTTCGGATGAAGCTTTAGTCTAGCTTGGTGATTGTTTGCATACCGTTTGATTGCCTGTTCAACAGTCAGGATTCCAAGGTCTCTGTGAAGATCATTATTTCTGACAAACCATATAATATTGTATTGGCTATTTCACGTAATGCCTTATTTTGGACCGTTTGAATCTTTTTTGTGTATGTGCTTTTTGTGCATCCCCATAGCTGAATACCGTAGAGCCATGTAGGTTTAATAATTTGTTTATAAAGTTAAAGTTTGTTATACAAAGTCATCTTTGAATGCCTGCCAATCCGCCATCTATATTGGGCAATTTTCATTTTCAACTCTTTTACATTCTTTCTGACAGGTTTATTCCATCTTAATTTAGTGTCCAAAGTCATACCAAGGTATTTCGCAGTATTTGCATATGGGACGCCGGTTTCATTATTATTTATTACTGCGGGATCTGTCAAATTATGGTTGGTAAAGTTAACATAGGTCGATTTAGGTTCGTTAAGTTTAATTTTCCACTTGGTGGTCCATTTATAAACAGCATCGCTCGCTTCCTAGTAGTTTCTGTGCGGCTGTTACTCGATTTGTGTCAGTTGACAGTAATCCTATGTCATGCGCATATGTTGCTATTGTAACTTCTTTCTGTTGGGGTGTTGTAAGGTGGATATGAAAATTAATAAATAAAGTGTCAAAATTTGATGATTCTTGGCATATCAATATACGTATCGTATATGACGACTAGTTTAAAAGTCATCATATTATTTTGATTTTAAATTTCACTAAATTTTACTAAAATGGCAATAATCTGCCAACGTCGCAAGTAAGAAAAAACAATTTACGGTACATATGGAGCGTTTCAAGCTGCATTCCATGAGCTAATAAAAAATGGGTAGTTCTATGTAAAAAAGTACACTTTGATCTTATCTCGCTTTTCTGAGACACTCTGTAACATATAAAATATTTTTAAAATGTGCGCACTTTGTGCGTCAACAATTTTTATATGGAACTATTTTTCGAAAGTTCAACACCAACGGAAATAATGGACTCTCGCACTAAAAAACCACCCTGTATGTGACAGATCATGATGGCAAAACGCGACTAATTTAGACTTTGACTGTTCTTTTTTGCGACTGATACTTTTTTAATGCAAATTTGAGCAGAAGCCTTCTTAATTTTCACTTTTGCATCACGCACCTCCTACCAATTCGAAAATAGCCAAAATTATTCAATAGACTGACTCTATTGGTGAGGAGGTAATAAACTTTTAACGGTAATTTAAACCCTTATGTAAAATGTTTATAATTTTAAGTTTTGTTTAATGGGATAGCTCAATAGGCCAAAAGTGAGTCAGCAAACAGATGCTCAGTGTGGTAATCTAGATTCTGCTGGTAGTCAAAAAATTTACCTATAATGTAGCGTTTTTCTTTCTATTATATGTCATTTAGGTAGATGTTCAGTAAGTTGGTATTGTATAAGGATGTAATTTCGCAGATCTTTGAGTCGACAATTATAAGAAGTTTGAAAGAACATGGGTAAAATTAGATGATTATATGTACTGCAAATATGGGTAATCTCTCTAAATCCCTGCCATGGGTAGATAAGGTGCAGTGGTCTGCATAAAAATCAATTTTACTATGACGTTGCTAGTTGGGTCAAGCAGAAACTCTTGAAAAACGTTTATAAATAAAATTAAGAAAAACTGAAATCAGATACCACCTTGGGGGTACTGCGAGCGCCAGATGTTCAGCACTTGAAACATATCCATTTATTTTAAATATGATTATCTGTGTAAATACGAGTATGTATGCTCTGAGCTATTCGTGTGTTGATCCATGAAATGGCCAGAGCTTAAAAAATTTTTTGCAAAAAAGCTCAGTTTATTCTGTCCAAGGCACATGTTAAATCAACACATGGTAGCCCCATGAGTAAAGGATCACCTTTTCATTGAAGCAAAGCAGGACCACTGAATGAAATGAGAATTACAACCAAATTACAAATATATAAAAACAGTAACCATAAAAACATTTGTAAAAAATTATAATTTAAACATTGAACAATTTTTTTTATTTAAAAAATATTATGATTTTCTTTCACGGTCATAGTTTTGATCCGAGTAAATACTTTGCAATAGTAAAAATTTCGTGAAATAATTCATACACATTTGACATAAATTGGTCAACTTATATTTTACACTTGATATAGATTTTAAAGTTTTAATGTTCAACTGTTCAAATGTTAACATATTTTTAAAGTACATTTAAAATAAGAAATGCAGATATTTTCTAGAAAGCGGGACATTTTAAAAAATCTGCGGGACGCAAGACAATCCACCCATAAACGGGACTGTCCCGCCAAAATCGGGACGCATGGTCACATTACCCATGAGCCCTGTCCTGATCTAAAGCCATTTTGGAGATTACTTTTGAAAATGAAAAACAGTGCTTTTTAATAAAGAATGGTTTTCGATGAATTGCTGATGTCCATTTCTTAAGAATTAGTTAATCGATGGTAGTTTTCACTAAAATAGAACTTCTGGAATTAAGTTATTTTTATATTAAAAGTTGAAGATGTAATGTTTAATGTTTATTATATGTTTAATTTTAGCGTAGGTCTTGCTTCTAAATAATAACTTGTATTAATAAACTACAGTGAAGTAAATATTATCAGCGTTAATTTATTTTTAAATAAAACATTACATATCAGGTGTGTTGATAATTCTGAATGAGCAAACTAGTCAAAGCATTAATTCAACAATTTGTCCATTGATAATTCAAGAATTAAATCGTCACAATAGGATGCAGGACTAAAATCAATAAGACTGAGACAAGTTGGCGCCTCTTCCAGCTTCTTTCGGTCGTTGTAATCGCTTAGCTTTATGGTGCACCAAAGTATGACAAAGAAGCTACTTAAGGATGTATAACCCTCTGTACATTACAATTTTAACAAATATGTGCAGTATTGAAAATTGAAGAGTAATAAATATATTATAACAATAAATTGGTATATATTTGCGCACACATCTATTGGAAGCATTACCGTGTTCTGTGAGATCACAATAATTGTACTTAGTTTCATCACAATTATTAGTATCGTTACCAATCCAATAAAAAATATTTCGGCTTTACAAATTGAAGGGTAATGCGGTCGGAACAGTCGTAAAAAATGTGTGACGAAAACGCATCCAAATTTACCAAAATTGATCTTTAAAAGTTAATAAATATATTTATTATTATTACATAAAAGAAATAATTTCAACATAACATCTCAAAGATTGAATTTGATGATTTTGGAAGCGCAATCTGAAACCTAAAATGTTCAAGAATCTTGTGGATTTTACAGTCGCACTTACAGTTTTACAGTCTCTGCTTGCATTTCTCTTAGGGTGTCGTCGATTTTCTTGAGGTTTAAATCATAGGCAACTGCGATACCGAACCAAATCACCATTTGTATAGAGTTCAGATATAATTTCATGGTTTTATCTAAATACGACACAAAAGGCGAATTCCGCACAAGTTGACAGACGTATATCCAACAAAACGGCTAACAATTTTTGAACATTGGGATTCTAATCTGCGCAAGGTCTGTGGGAGAAACAGATTTTGGGGATATTTTTCATATACGAGGGAGAGATTCTATGAAATTATTGTTAACGTATACAGGGCGTTAGTTTATATTGCCCGTTACCTATGTTAAGGATTGCCTACTTTAAAATAATCATAAAGTTATAAGGCGCACCTTATTACATAGAATAATTAAGCCGAATTTTAGGGTGCGTCGCATTGACCGAAGGTGACATTGTTTTTCATCTCAAAAGTTGCTGTCCATCATACAGTTCGTAGTTAGTGGAAATCGGTAGATCGTTGTTGTGGCCGGAACTTGGGTTTCCGTGACTTCTATGTTATGTGTTCCTTTGCTGAGCACAATAAGGACATGTTTTGCTACTTCAATTTTTTCTTTTTCTTATGGCTTTTATGGCAACATTTCCGATTTTTCGTCACTTTTGTGATAAAAAGTAAACGGATGGTGTAGACTTTTCCTTTCAGGGCAGTCCGAATTTTAAAGCGGTTAAATCAGATTGTCGGGACCAACACCAAAGTGTGAAAATGAGGAACAAATCATGTTATAGATGGTTACGTACTGAAGATGACACAGTTTTTGAGAGTGACAACAATCGTTCAAACGAAAGTAATACGAACGGTAACACTAACGAGAGAAGTGTTAGTACGGAGAATAAAAAAATGGTGTGCGTCACGGGACGCTCGACCGAAGTGATAACTTCATAAATTAATAGAAACCATAAAATATTGAACTTGTTTAACGCATGATGGCAATAATAATTTTAATATTATCCTTGGTTGAATAATTTATAAATAGATCAGACATTGGTAAAATGTAATTTAATTTTCTTTAGAACGTAAAATATCCTTTTTATTTGGAACATTTGCTTGCATTGCAAAGAAACAAAAAGACAACGGCACGCGGTGTTCCCAAGCAGTCACCCATCCAAGTACTTACCGCGCCCGACGTTGCTTAACTTCGGTGATCGGACGAGATAGATAGATAGATAAAACATTTATTAATATCTACATTATATACAGACATTAACAGATTAACAACAAATGACAGGAGCAAGCCCATGTCAGTGTATGGCCAGATGGTCGGCCAGTTGCTTCTCTGCCTATAGTTTAAATGGGCGGGAAGTAGTCCAGTACCTGGGCAGAGCCCTTACAAGGACATTTGCGGATCCGCAATCGCACGAAAACGTGAGGAGATCATCTTTAAATGGCGACTTTTCTTTCACTGGAAGGGCATTCATTGAGGAAAAAAGGTCTTCCTGAAGGGAAGCCAAAAACCCCTTTTGCTTCGACCTT